GAGTTGCATGAGACCCCGATAAAATAATTTTTAAAAGAAAAACACAGTGCAAACAACCAGCTGATGGCATAATGAATTAAACATTACCCTGCAGCTCTCTCATCTTGTGAACATCTCCAAATAAATGATGAGGTGGAATACAATAGTTGGCCAACTACTTGTCTTCCCAATTTCCTAGCATAGATAAGTGAGTGCTTCTAGTGCTTCATCAGCTTGTTCAAACATTTCTTTCTTTTTTATTTTATCATTTTTTGGGGACCTCGTACAACTCTTATCACAATCCATACATCCATCCAACGTGTCAAGCACATTTGTTCAAACATTTCAATTGGTAGTCCATCAATTCCTGAAGCATTGTTAAAGTATTACATATATATAATGTGTATTATATATATAAAACATTTATATATAAGCTTTCTTGGGCTATAATTCATATACCATACAATTGAATAGTTCAAGCATATCAAGAAAAGTTTTACAATCATTACCACAATCTATTTTAGAAAATTTTATTCTTCTTCTCATTGTTATTAGCTCTCTATTTCCCCCATGCTCCCCTGCCATACCCCATGAAACAATCCAGTCACTGTCCCTATAGATTCACCTGATAGAATCATTTTTGAGAGATTAATTTTTAAAGTTCTTTTTCCCCTTGGTCTTGTCTCTCTTCAAGCCATTCAGGCAGGTAGTTAACTCTGTGTTCATTTCCTCGAGAAAGAGATGTGCTGGGAAAGCAGAAATAGACTGCAAGTTCTCCTGGCTTTTATTTCCAAAATCCTGAGCCCTTGTGTGAGAACAGAATTTGCTGATTAGAAACAACCATATATGTGCCAGAATTGGGAGGTGAAATGAAACTTCTTCCCAGGAGACCAAAATCAGATTCCTTTGAATGAGCGATACCGGAAAGAAAGGAGAAAAATCCGGGACCCCCAGAACAGGGAAGACCACCAGAAGGCAGCAAAGGAAGATGTAAGCCTTGATGCAGAGCAGAGTGAAAATAAATAAATGTCATGTGTAACTCTTTGCCAATAAATCTGATAATTCCAGTGAAACAGTTGACTTTCAGAAAGGAGAGAAAAATAGAACTCAGAGCAATGACTAATGTTGAGTTTCTCCTACTGTTTCTCTGGATGCCCCTGAGCCAATGGACTGGCATTGAGTGTTCCGCTAGCTAGGTAATTGGAACCTGTCTTCTAAGTCACTAGTCACAAACCCAGATCTCATTGGGGCTGTTTCGTACAGCTGACTGTATGGAGAAGACCCTCTATGAAGCTAAGGACCATGTCTTTCTTGTTCACTGTACCATCTTTTACTTGTTGATGGACAGTAAAGAACAATAAATTACTGTAGGAAAAACTTAATGCTCAGAAATAGATCACCTTTGGAATATAATGCATAACATTAAAAAATAATAACAAAAAGGAAGTTAACGTACATGACGCTATTAAGAAAGACTCGCCTAACTGTGCTGCTTGGTTGCTGTCATGCATTACACACTGTCGGCTGTTGGAACCCATCGGGCACTGCCTGGGAGAGGGGTGAGGGCTTTTGCTCCCTTCAAGAGTCATATAACCTTGGAACCCTAGGGAGTGGTTATATTGTGCGCAACAAAGTCACTGTGAGTCAGAATCATCTTGGTGGC